GTATTCCTCAGGGCAATGTTTTGGTCTCTTCGCCTATATCGTCACTTCAACCATCGTGTCTGCCCGTGCCTCTTGTCTCTTCTCGCGTCGAGTCTCTCCTCGTTCCCATCCAGATTGCAAGAGTCATGTCGGAGATGGGCTCTGCACAAGGAAAGAAATAAATCAGGCTGTGAGGAGATGTCGAGAACCCAGTGTCCTACTTCTCAAGTTGAATGACACTACAACAGCGGCTACACCTCATGATGGGGGCATGACAGTGGAAGCTCGAGAGGGTCAGGTTCACAACTCTGCCATGTCAGTCAGTCTATACTCTTAGTTTCTGAGCAGCATTGAGCAGCGTACAGGTCGCAATTCAGATCCTGTGGGTATCGAGATCAGCCAGCGCCCCAGCAGGGTTGTTGGACTGTGCCAGTTGGTTCTGCGAAGTGGAAGGACTCTTCAAGTTCGATGGAACGAGCTTTACATCTCCTCCAGAGACAATGAAGCACAAATACTAACCGCGGCAATGACGACCAGTGAAATATGGCTGGTTGATGTGCGCAATAGAACTGAGGTAAGTGGTGCAAGGTCTGGCTGGCAACTGCGCACGACTGAACTTGATTTCTTTCCTTTTCTCTCACTTGACCTTTTCACTTTCTCCTTTCCTCTTTCTCTCTCAGACAGGAGGCTGCACAAAGTCATAGCTGTTCCATTTCATATCCTCTTGATCCTGTTTGATGTGCGCTACGTTGTTCCAACATGCCTTAGCCACTGACCACTCCCCGTTCATTCCAATCCATCAGACTGACCACCTAGCCTGGTCAATCTATTACCTCAATGCTGGCCATCCTTTCGGCTTCTCACTGCGTTGATTTCAAAGACAACAAGCTGTACAGCATCAGCAGAACACAGTTGGCCAACTTCCAACGTTGTCTCCGCATCCTTGTTCCCAATCAGTCCCTGCGATGATTTTTTTCCCGTCTTACTTTCACACACAAGAGGAAGTCCACATAACATATATGGTAGAACTGACAACAGCACCAGCACCAGCACCAGCGTCAGCACCAGTACACAACTGAGTCTTTCATTTCCATTAGATTGAGGGCTATTATACTAATATTTTTGTATAGTGTCTTCTAAATGCAGCAGCGGCAACAAAAACCACTTGAGCAGCAACGCCGCAGAAAAGACCTAGGCAGCATGGGATGCAGACCAAATCCCTTTCTTTCTCAGGGCCCAGTGCGCAAGATGCTCGTGGCTTTATCCATGCAGTAATTCTTCTTCGTAAGTAACGCATTAGTAACGGTATTATAATAGCTACTATTTCAAGGCCGCTCGGCGGGCTCAATCTTCGTAGCTAAACGTGAGTTATTTTACTGCTCGGTTAAACACCATGATCAAGGTAATTTAATTTATGTCTACTTTAGCTGTGGCATCTAATTATTTTAGGACTGAGAGGAAGCAGCGGCAGAAAGCAGAAGAGAAGCACAGCAGGAGCACAGCAGCATAGTAATCAGTCAACAGCGATAATAGTTGTCTTACACTTCGCAAAGAAAATAGTCTAACATAGAATGGACGCTATATCTAAGTAGCGAGAGAGTACTCAACCACGACGAAGTGACCACTGTGTCAAATATAACTAAATTGATATCGATAAAGGATAGAGCACCAATACCTCCAAAGGTAAATTTAATATCACTTGTAAATGAAGGCCACTTTCGATCCAACGGCCGAAAGACGGCTTTATGGTTGCTACCAAGGCGGTCTTGTCTGACAGCGCGATTTATATTTCATCTGAGCTCGGCAATACATTACAGAGGGTAAAAAGGTACCTCAAATGACTCAATTCTACCGCTTTTTCGTGCTGTTTAAAATTTGAATCATCCTTTTCATCCAAACATGCCAATCTAAACGAAATCGTCCCGGACACCATGGAGCCTGGTCCCGCAGTGCCTGCCTACATCCTGCGGGGCCACGAAGCCGCGATCCATGCTCTTCACTTCTACCACAACAACGCCCTACTTGCTTCGGGAGACAGCGACGGGTGGATAGTCATATGGAGTCTCTCATCCAAACGAGCCGTGGTAGCCTGGAAGGCCCATGAGGAGGGAATCATGCAAATCAAGCATTGGACGAGGAATAGACTTGTAAGGTAAGCGGGCATGTCAATCAAATCCCGGAGATCTTGATCATCTCCTTCGTGAAGAAACCAGACTGAGACTTAAATCGCTCGGCATCAAAAAGCCATGGAAGGGACCATAAACTCCGCATCTGGCAACTTCGACAGGAAGATCTTGCAGGTCTGAGTACAAGACTGCCTGCCGACTCGGACGGCTCAGCATCATCACCAGATCAACTGCAGCCATGGCTGCTTCATTCCATGTCAGTTAACGCCCTCAATTTCTGCGCCTTCTCTATGTGCGATCAGGATCCCCAACAACCCGCAAGTGAGGAAGCATCTCCCCAACTGATCGCCTCGCCCAACGGTCTCGACTCCGGCGGTATCGACATCTTCCAACTCCCATCAGAGAGGCGGGTGTCGCAGATCAAGTCGGACAAGGGTAACCCGACGGGGATGGTGATGGCCGTCTGCCTCTTCCACAAGAAGACCGACTCAGCGTCGAGACTCGTCCTTATCGCGGGCTACGAGGACGGACGAGTCACGGTCCACGCGTACCAAGGAGATCTGAGTCATCCGAACGGATGGTCAGGGGCGTGGCAGAGAGTCGCCTGCAGCAAAGCGCACACGCAACCTATCCTTTCAATCGCCACGCTCCCTTCCAAGACGCACTTCCTGACGTCCAGCGCTGACGCCTTGATCTCCAAGTTCTGCCTGCCTTTTTTCCTGGGAGACCTCCAACAAGAAGCAAAAGAAGAAAAGCCGGAGGAGCTGCAGACCGAAAAGTCCATCAACACGAAACACGCTGGCCAGCAGGGCCTCAGCGTGCGCTCCGACGGCAAGATCTTCGCAACGGCAGGCTGGGACGGCCGCGTGCGCGTGTACTCGTGCAAGACGATGAAGGAATTGGCGGTGCTCAAATGGCACAAAGGAGGCTGCTATTCTACGATTTTTGCAGACGTTGACCTTATCATCACTCATGATGTTGGCGGCGCGGATGGTGTTCCTCCCTCATCATCTGCTGATCCCGGTGGAAACCTGGTATTGTCGAAGAATACCGCCCCTAAGGATCTTTCAAAGCCGCTGAATGCGCTCGACATGATCAAACGGCAGCGGGAAGAAAAGGCTCAACGAACACATTGGCTAGCCGCTGGCGGCAAAGACTGTAAAATTTCATTGTGGGATCTCTACTGACAGCGCTTTTCCTCGTTCTCGATATCCAATCTTGCTCACCAGGGCTTCATTCCTTCGATATTTCGACCTCCGCTCCTGTAGCCACGGTCGGCTCTGGTTCTCTGGCTTCAACTTCTCCGCTCCCCCGAACAACCCTCCGAATGCTCCGTTGCGGGATCTTACGAAACATCCCAGGGTTCGCGGCATGTTGTCTGAGATGCTTCCTCGTTTTTCGATCTATGCGAGGTTCTAGGATTACATTGTCGATGAGTCTGACGCTGCGTTGGTTCAGCTCCTCCTGAGTTTTCGGTTTGTCGACTGGGGAAACGATCATTGCGGCACTGAGGACGGCGCCGATGCGCGGATTAAGTTTCTCATCGTCCATGATAGTTCCCATTGTGTCTGGATGGCTCATTGCAATATAGTCGATCTCGATTCGACCGCTGGGCCCCACTCGACCATCGCTTCTAACTCTTGTGGCATCCTCCTCAAAGACGTTGAACGCGGCCTTGCGCAGACGCTTTACATCTAACACACCCGAGTTGTAAAGGTCACGCGCGGCAAAAAGAGCCCTGGACAAAACTGTAGCATCTTCCCTTCTCCGGTCACCGAGATAGACATTCCGGCTACTCATGGCTAATCCGTCCGGCTCTCTCTCCGTAGGCACAACGCGAACTTGGATGGGAATATGGAAGTCCTTAACCATACGCTTGATGAGGATTGACTGCTGAACATCCTTCTGGCCAAAGTAGACCCGGTCGGGTTGAACGATATTGAACAACTTGGTGCAGACCGTCGCGACGCCACGAAAAAATATGGGCCGCGATGCTCCCTCGAGTTCAGATCCAAGGGGCGTGATTGTGACGAAAGAGCCGTGGCCAGCGATGTCAGAAGTGGGCGGGAGAGTAGGATACATGGTCTTGACGGTGGGTGCAAAGACACCGCGTATCACTCCGGGTTTCTTCGACTGGCCCACAGTCGCGATATGCTCCTCTTGGAGTTTCTTCAACTTTGCCATGTCTTCGTTCCAGGTCACCGGGTAGGAATCGAGATCCTCATGCGCGGCAAACTGGGTTGGGTTGACGAAGATGGAAATGAAGACGTCAGTATTCTCTTGAAGAGCATAGCGTACGAGGGAAAGGTGGCCTTCGTGTAGGGCCCCCATAGTTGGAACAAAGCCCAAGGTGCGCCCTGGAAGGCAGAGCTTCCTGCGAACGGCGCGGAGTTGGTTTATGTGTCGGAAGACAGGAAAGGGAGAGGCAGGCGAAGTGGAGGTAGAGCTCCATCGTATTCTCTGTGAGGATTGCAGAGTCGCTAGGGGAGATATTTGTCGCCGCCATAGTGAGTTCGTCGCTGTCGAAGTTCTCAGTCCGGCCAACAACAATACGAGCCTATCCATAGCGGCCAGCTCGAGTGGTGGAGGTGTTGGTGATGAGATGACGAAACGAAGCTTTATTCCGAGGTCGAAGAGACATCAGCCTCATTTTGACACTGTCGGGCTCACCGTCGCTTGAGGGTGAGTCAAAGTCCTCATGATACAATGTGCAGCGTAGAAGTGAAGCGAAGAAGCCGAATCGAGGTGCGCAGTTATTGAGAAACGCCGAACGGAACGAGGCACGCAAGGCCAGCCAATCGGAGGAGATCCTTCTCCGCCTCGCCGCACTTCTGTCGGCACAAAAAAAAACCTCGAGACTGCATTTTTGCACTTCTGACCGACCAAGTGATGAAAATGGCCGAGGATGGCATGTTCTTGAACTTCTCCGTCGATGCGAACCTCGCCACTGCCGCTGCAAATAACACCCGGAAGTTCAAAGGTGGGTCGTGGAGAGACCGTCTGCGAGCGAAGAGGTCTGTACAGAGAAGAGAAAAAGGCGGAGACCAAACGAGAAGACACGATGCAAACACAGTCCCTATATCGCAGAGACGCTCTGAGGGCCGAGGGAATGCACATACACACTTGGGACAGTCTGGTGATTTCCCAGACTCTCGACCAGCAAAGAGGAGGCGTGAAAATGAGCATGTGCCGAATTCAGCCCGAGTTCAATATCCCGCGCAGAAACGAAGTCATGAGCACAAATCACCTGCAGGAGGCCCTCGCGAGGTCATCTCTTCGCTTTTCACATACAACCCGAAACCATCAACTACTGTGGAAGAGCCCAAGGAAGGAAATCGAGAAGAGAAGCCAACGGCGCCTTCTAATGCCCCTCTGATTGATGGTATTGACACGTTCACATCCCTCGGCCTTTCCCCCACGATAGCTACCCATCTTTTGACCAAGATGAACCTTAAAACCCCCACGGCGATCCAAAAGGCGGCCGTTCAGCAAATGTTGAAGGACAACAGCGACGCATTCATACAGTCGGAGACGGGCTCGGGGAAGACCCTGGCATATCTGCTCCCTCTGGTGCAGCGAATCATGATCATGTCGGAACAAGTGGCAGAAGAAAGGAAGACTTACGCACAAGATCCCTTAATGTTACATCGCGACTCTGGCCTATTCGCCATAATCCTCGCCCCGACCCGCGAACTTTGCAAACAGATCTCCGTCGTTCTCGAGCGCTTACTGGGTTGTGCGCACTATATTGTCGCTGGTCATGTAATAGGAGGCGAAAAGAAGAAATCGGAAAAAGCCCGCATGCGAAAGGGACTAAACATTTTGGTTGCGACGCCTGGCCGATTAGTTGATCACCTGGAAAATACAAAGGCACTTGATGTGAGTAATGTCCGCTGGCTTGTGCTAGATGAGGGGGATCGGTTGATGGATATGGGGTTCGAAGAGGATATTACGAAGATTGTGAAGACTTTGGATCAGAAAAAGAGGCCGGGAGGGAGCACCAAGTGGCCAGGTCTACCTAAAAATCGAACAACGGTGCTGTGCTCGGCGACGTTGAAGATGAACGTACAGAAGCTCGGCGAGATCAGTCTGAAAGATGCGGCCTTGATCAAAGGTGACCCTGGAGACAAAGATGGGCCAGGACAAAGAGAGGAGGCTGGAGACACCATGATGAATGGCAACAGCACGAAAGACTCCGCGTTCCTGGCTCCAGCGCAGCTCAAGCAGTCCTATATCGTCGCGGCGGCGAAGCTGAGGTTCGTCACACTTATGGCATTACTAAAGCGAACATTCGCGCGGAAAGGGTCAGTCATGAAGTCCATCGTGTTCGTCTCCTGCGCCGACTCCGTCGAATTCCATTTCAAGGTATTCACCACAGCATTCGAAGAAGATGGTTCCTCAGAGAATAAGGAACTGTCGCGTGACAATGCTGAGACGGACTCTGAAGTCGAAGGTCTTCAAGCTGGCAAACTCTCGCCAACCTCAACCCGCGATCCTTCCGTCTCTGACTCAATCCTACCCTCCCCAACCCTTTCGTCCTCACACAACCAAGTGACGCTCTACAAACTACACGGGTCTCTTCCTCAAATTACCCGCACAAACATCGTCAAACACTTCGCTACCACGACCTCACCATCCCTCCTAATTGCGACGGACGTCGCCTCCCGCGGCCTCGACCTGCCCAACCTCGAACTTGTGGTTGAGTACGACCCCGCGTTCAGTGCCGAGGACCATCTGCATCGAATCGGGCGCACAGCTCGTCTAGGACGGGATGGCAGGGCGGTCATTTTCCTCCTACCAGGCAAAGAAGAAGGCTACGTCTCGGTGCTAAAAAGCTCCTACAAGACGGGGCCAGATACCGTGGCGAACGTCTCCTCCATGTCCGCCGAGGAAGTACTTAAGAAGGGGTTCACACCCTTTAGCGGTGTCATCCCCACTAAGAACAAGAATCACCAGAACGAAAGGGATGCCGCAGACTGGCAGTCTCGCGCCACTGACCTCCAACTCTCCCTCGAGCGCTTCATTTTGTCCTCTCCACACAACAAGGACATGGCCAAAAGGGCTTTTCAAAGTCACATGAGAGCCTACGCGACACACGTCGCCAGCGAGAGAAAGTGGTTTGATATCAAGGAGCTGCACCTGGGCCATCTTTGCAAGAGTTTCGGGTTGAGAGAGACGCCTAGTGGGATGGGAGTGGGAAGGAATAACAAGAAGGGTGGCACGAAGCGAGGACACAGCAACACGACTGATGATGGTAAGTTACGACATCGTGGTGGGGGTGATGGAGAGAAGAATGCCGAAAGGGCAACAAGGATACGAGATGTCGGTGCAGATATGGATAATAACGGTGACACTGACGAGGCGGCGCGGAAGATGAGGGAGAAGATCAGGATGAACAGAAAGATGATGATGGGAGGAACCGCAGACGAGTTTAATATTGCCTGAACATATCAAAAAGAGTTCATTGAACCTGTCAGCCAACAGGCTTTATCTCTAGGTATGCAAGTGGTCTCCCAAGGGAGGATGAAAACCCATTGGAATCGTCTGAGAACTTCTACTCGTTCTTATTTGCATTCTCGTCAACCACTCGGTTTGCGTCGCTCGGTTTCTTCCCCAGCGCTACAGTGCCTATCTGTCGTTGTTTGCTATGTATCTCGTACTATCTCTATCTAACATGTGCCACAATCTCGACTTTTAGATAGATGTACAACCCGTTTATTAACGCTGCCATGGGGACGTACAAGAGCATCGCACTAAGAGCCGATTGCCGTCATCGGCCCGGATGCAGGCTGTCTCACAGATTCTTACCTCGCAAAGTCATGCTTTGACCCGATAGAAGCGGAGGGAAACGAGTGTACGGCTGGTCTAAGGGAATTGAAGTTGGACCAGCTCGGTGAGAACGATAACGACGAGGCTGTGAATAGTGCGGGGCAAGGCTGAGACAATAAGGCTGCAGGTACCGAGGCGGTGACGGGTGGCAGTATCTTCTGCAAGGGACTTATTTGTTTTGCTTTCGCTAACCAAATTCGCTGTCCGACAGCCGCAATATTGGGAACTTGTTTTTGTAGAAAAGCAACTTTGAGATGTCAGGTAGGCGCTTCCATCGACTCTTCCTCTATATCTTGCTTATTGCATTGCAGGCCAATTCTCCCTCTCCGACCCGCCAGCCGACGCGATTTCAGCCCTTCGATTCTCACCCCATCCGAACTCTCTGCGCTTCGTCGTCGCCTCGTGGGACAAGCACGCCTACATCTACGAAGTCACAGATAGCAAAACATGTACTCAAATTGCGAAATTCGAGCACCGTGCCCCCGTCCTTGATGTTTGCTTTGGCAAGGATGACAATGAAATCTATACGGCGTGTTTGGATTGGGATGTGAGGAGGTGCGAATGAAAATTGATTCTTGGATGTGAACGTTTGAAACATCAAGAACTGACTGTACTTTGTAGGATCGAAGTGACATCCGGGACGCAAACCGTTCTCAGTACGCACGATAACGGAGTTCGGTCGGTGGTCTACAGCAAAGAACATTCATTGGTCGTCTCCGCGGCATGGGACTCGACAGTGCACATCCATCCAGGTGGAGATGCAGGATGGTCAACCGCCACAATTAACCTGCCATCAAAACCCTTCTCCCTGGCTGTTTCACCCTCCAAATTGGTGGTCGCCATGGCGAACCGAGCAGTCCACATATACGAGCTGAAGACACTAGCAAGTGAATGCAGGAGTTCGGCGAATTCACTACAGAACAGACTCGACATTGAGCCGTGGCAGAGGAGAGAGAGCAGTTTGAAATTCATGACCAGGGCGGTGGACTGCATGCCGAATGACGAAGGTTATGCCTCGTCCAGTATTGAAGGCCGAGTTGCAGTGGAGTGGTTTGATCCTTCGAATGAGTCGCAGGCTCGTAAGTACGCGTTCAAATGCCATCGCCAGCCAGTCGACGATGTGGACGTTGTTTACCCAGTCAATGCCATTGCGTTCCATCCTATCCATGGCACATTTGCGACAGGCGGTGGCGACGGAGTGGTTGCTATCTGGGATGCTGTTGCGAAACGAAGAATTCGTATCTACCCCAAGCTCGCCTCGAGTGTTGCTGCCCTCTCCTTCAGTTCGAATGGAAAGTATCTGGCCACTGCAATTAGCCCGGGTTTTGAAGATGGCAAGGACGAAATTGCGGAAGGGTCTGTGGCGATTTTCATTCGCGAGCTCGGCGAGAATGAGGTTAAGAGGAAGGTAAAATGAATTGGATGTGGACCGTCTATCCGCGGGGATATCTTCACAATATGCCTTCGCTGAAGCAGAGACTAAGTCTATGAGGTTGCTGCGGCTACAACACTTGGGTCAGAGCTATGCACAGGGACCAACGGCGGGTACTTTGCAATGATGGAGTGACGCTTATGTCGAGCTGATCGCACCGACACAGTGCCGTCGGTCATGCCGAAATAGCATGCGATCGGTCTCTGGCCGCCGATCACACCAGCTGCCTCGGCCTCTGGGCCGGTAGGACCGCAGAAAAGGCCTACAGCAAGCACGCCATTGATATCCTTGATAGCTCGAGCGAGCTGTTCGACCTCCCAATAGCCGTTTTCACCGTCACCCGGTCTTTCGGGGGTGAGATCCTCAGCAATCAGGAGTGGATGCGGGAAGGGGGCGTCGACGATAAAGAAGTCTTGGTCCGTCTTGACAGGGCCGGCTTTTGCAAGGTGACCTTCTCTGATCATCGGGCCCACGCCTGCAGTGCTGCGACTACCAAGCATTCGTAGTCTCTTCATGACCTGTCGAGCGGCCTTTGGTTCGACCTCTATGGGGATAGTAGGCCATTTGGTGACTAGACGCCGCTGGAGCTTTCGATAGTCTGCGGCTGGTTAGCAAGGCCGCTCTCCGGAGAAGCGAGGGGACCGACATACCAGCCACGCAAATGAACTGTTTTGATCTCATGGCCACCAATTTCTCCTGGTACAGACAAGCGCCTCCGCCCTTGATGCAATTCAATTCCTCGTCCACCTCGTCGGCTCCGTCAAAATTAACATCAATCATGACATCGTCCGGTAGAGCGTCGAATTCAATGGGCACCAGACCGGCGTTTATGATAAGTTGTTTGGACTGGTATCCCGTTGGCACAAAGCCGACTCTTGAGACGTCGACGCCGCAGTTTTTGATCGCTTCCACGACGTAGACGATGGTTGTACCAGAGCCGATGCCCACGAAGCGCGGGTTTGGAGGAAAGTGGTTTTTCACAGCTTCGAGGGCGGCTGCCTTTTTGGCAGCTTCGATCTCGGCAGCCATGTTACCGTTGGCGGGTGTGCGAGTGCTGTGGAAGTGTCTTCTCTGGCAGGTGCGAACAGCTTTGAGGTTATGGTGCCGAACAACGCAGGCAGGTTTATTGCGGAGGATAAGGGAAAAGGTTCTAGCTTCTCTACCTACAGGAAATTAGCCGAATAAATACAAGGTGCAAGGCGCAATGGCTGGGGAGGGACTCCATTCACTTACAGATGTCACCATAAAAATTAAAGCTGGGTTTGAAGAGCATAAATCGGAAACGTCTAACTGGATTACGTACGCAATGACAGATGACTTATCTCAACCAAGACATCGCCGCCAGTGCCGCGATTGGAGTAGAGACCGAGTTCCTGAAAGATCAAAAATGTTGGAGTGAAGCATCTCCCAGTGAGGGACCAAAGTTGAGATACAACACGGCGGGGACCTATTATGGTGGGGAAACATTTCGCAGCGAGGCGCTCAGTAGCTAGTGGCTCGCTAGTGCGCACCCACTAGAGCAGTTACGGTGACGTCGATCGGATGAGTTGCCCCAAAGATCGGCAAGGACCGCTTGTGCGCAGTCTGCTCTCATTCACGAACAGTTATGTACACCTTTTCCTATCGCTGACGAATGTCAGGAACCGCAGCCAGCTTTCTGGCGATGTCGAGCTCTCCTATCGAACCTGAGTTGCCGCAATCATGACGGAGATTGCTCCCCGCGAAGTCACTCCGCCTCCTCTCCAAGCGCCCACCGCCAAAGAAAAGAAGTATGACCGCCAATTGAGATTATGGGCTGCCTCAGGACAACGTGCCCTGGAAGAATCCCATGTCCTCTTAGTTGTAGGGGATGATGCCTTCGGCTCCAACAGTAGCGTTGCTGGCGCTGAGACTCTAAAGAACCTCATCTTACCGAGTGTCGGCAGTTTCACCATCGCAGACTCGGCAAAAGTCACCGAAAGAGATCTGGGAATCAACTTCTTCCTCGAGTCGAACAGTCTTCACAAGTCAAGAGCAGACGAGATGAGACGGCTACTACAGGAGCTGAATCCAGACGTCACTGGCCACGCAATTTCAACTCCCTTGGCAGAATGGCTCCCTGTGCAAGAGTCCCTCAAGCCTTACAATCTGATCCTCCTCTGCGCTCCGGTGGCTCGGGAACCGCTCGAGAAGATATGTGGTTATGCGTTAGAGAACTCAATACCAGTGATCTACATCCAGTCAGCCGGCTTCTTTGCCTCTTTCTCGATTCAACTGCCCACTGAATTGCCCATCGTGGATACTCACCCTGATCCTGAGAGTACCCAAGATCTCCGTCTTCTTGCGCCTTGGCCCGAGCTCGACGCTGAAGCCGATTCTCTCGGAGACCTCACATCGCTGTCAGATCACGACCACGGCCACATCCCATACATTCTCATTCTCTTACACTACCTCAGACGGTGGAAGACAGATCACGATAACAAGAATCCCTCTTCGTTCAAAGAAAAGACCGAATTTCGGAACCTTGTCGCGTCTGGCGCAAGAACAAACAACCCCGAAGGCGGCGAAGAGAACTTTGACGAAGCCTGTGCCGCGGTGCTCAAGAGCATCGCTCCCCCACCAATAGGCAATGGGTGCAAGGAGATGATGTCTATGCCTTCCTGCACCAGCCTAACCACAGACTCGGCAAATTTCTGGGTTGTCGCAAACGCTATCAAAACGTTCTATGACACTCACGGTGTTCTGCCGCTACCCGGAGCTCTTCCAGACATGAAAGCCACCAGTGCAGATTACGTCAAGCTTCAGACCATCTACAAGTCCAAAGCGCGAGCTGACGTGGCTGAAGTAACTAGGCTTGTTCGCCAAATCGAAGCGTCCATTTCAAGAACGGCTTCGCCAGTTCCAGACTCGGAGATTGAAGCCTTCTGCAAAAATGCCTCTCATGTACGTGTCTTGACGAACCAGAACAGGGAGGTCATCCCTTCACTGCGCCTGATGCTATCTGACCCCAAAGTCCTCCTCCGTCTCGCATCCATTATTGAAAATGATTGGGAGTCCCTTTCCCCTGTCTTTGTCGCGCTCAACAACAAAAGCTTCTCGTCAGACATGCCGCTCAACGTGGATTCACTGTCATCCAGTCCCGAGATGCGCGAGAACATTACCAATGCTATCACGGAAGCCGAGCGTGTGGAGGGCGGTGAGCTGCACAACATTTCCAGTGTAGTCGGAGGCATGGTGGCGCAGGAGGCGATCAAGCTGCTGACGAGGCAGTATGTCCCTGTCAATGGGACTTGCGTTTTCGATGGCATAAAGAGCAAGTCTGGGGTTTTCAAATTCTGAAACACAGATATAGATTGCGCCAAAGTTTGAGAGAACTGAGCAAGGGTCTTCGGTGGCAAGAAATAGAAGAAGCGGACGTGATGAATAAATGAGATATGTGATGATCGAGGTCACAACGGAATGAAGAATGGATAACCGGCACAAAAAGTATGATAGACCAGACGAGCACCGTGGGTTCAACGATATTCGACCCAGGGCTTGATACACGGCTGCTTTTTAAGACTCGGCTCCTGTAGAAGGAGATCCAGGAGACTATGATATAAGGCTATACATAGGACCTGGAAATAGCCAGCTACCCGAATACAGCTCACTTAAATGCTGAAACGAGGACTAACCAACCGCGACGGAAGCTCCCTTAACACGTTCCGTAGATAATGCCATTATTACCGTGTGTGCCATGCCATGGCATGCCAACCGAAAAGCTCTATCTATGTACATATATATATGTACACGTGAAGATCCATACATCTGCATTATACATCGAACACAACACACAGACACATAAACACACAAACACATCTCCCAGCCAATTCTGTACCGGAGAAGAAGAATGGACTTTTGGATTTGACCATGTAGTAAGTAGCTCCTTTCGCTCGCATACTCCACCCAAGCTGGTGTAAGGACCGCCATCATACCGTGATCAGGAAAAGCAAGGATGCGTGAGACACTGCAAGGCTGGAACGCGGCAGACAGGTTCAGGGTCTGCGGGGAACAGGTTGCAGAAACAGGCCAGGGATCGAACTGAGATACGCGTACCGAATTGACGTGAAAGAGGACCAGCAATCCCGAACACAGGAGGGGATCATACCGCATCTCGCCATTCCTCTGTCAGCTCCTCTTCCTTGACCATCCTCCTCAGGTCCTTCAGGACAGCCTCCGTGCCCTTTTCTACCACACTTATCCTTGGAACGCGGAATCTATTCCCGCTGACCTCCACCACCCTCAGCCTCCCTTCCACCTTCTCCTTGGAGCCAGGGAGATTGCCCAATAGCCCCAACTTTGGTGGTAGGCTCTCGATCTCATTGTTCCTGATGTCGAGGACTTCCAGCCCGCGGACGCCCTCAACGTCGACGGAAGTGAACCAATTATCTGTAGCCAGCAAAGTCTTCACGTTCGGCCACCAGGCCCGGACCCAAGGGACGTGACCTGCGAGACGATGGCATGAGATGTTTATTTCCACGAGGCAGGGGGCTTTAAGGTATGTTGTGAGGGCATCGAGAGAGGTCAAGCCTGTGGAAACAATATAGAGTGATTTCAGGTTTGGGAGGAAGAGTTCGCTGGTGAGGTACTCTGTCGGATGCAGCTGAGGGTTATGAGAGAGGTCGAGAGATTGGAGAGTATATTTCACGGAAGGGTGCGAAAGGAGGTCAATCGGGAAGGATGGGAGTTCGTTGTTGGAGAGTTTGAGGGTGTGGATTTGTGAAGACAAGTCGATTTCAGCCACGGAGAGGGTGACCAGTGAATGGGAGGAAAGGTCGAGAATTCCGTTGGAAGGGGTGTAACGGTACTCCCCACCAGATTTTGAGCTGGTGAGGTTATCGCTTTGCTCTGGGGAAGGCTTCTCGGATTGTTCCAATTCAAGTCTCTTCTCGAGGTCCGCCTTGAGCTCCGAGGTATTCATTGTGAGGTACTTTTTCTCACGAAGTGGATTTCCGACAATGTTAAAGGTCGACAGGTTCGTCATCAACACAATCTCGGGCAAAACGAGGCGGATGTTGTTGTTTCCAAAATCTGCCGTCTTTAGGTTATCCAGCTGTGCTAAATCTGCGGGAATCTCTTCCAACTGATTTTCCGAAACTTCCAAGGTATATAGTTGCTTGCAATTCGTTAATGGGGGTAGGCTGATGAGCTTGTTGCCGTTTAGAGCGATTGAACGCAGATTTGAGAGATCTGGGGCATTGTCACTGTCAAAAAATTTCTCCAGTTCATTGAATGACGCGTCCAAGGTACGCAGCTCGGGGAGAGCCAGCGTGCCTGACAGCAGGGTACCGGAAATACGGTTTCGGGAGACGTTTAGTTCGGTCAAAGTTGAAGTAGGTAGACTCTCCCACGGGAGTGTTGCAAACTTGTTGCCTGCGATGTTCAACACCTTCATGCTCCCAAGTCGGGATAGACCTTCGGCACCAAAGCTCTGGATTTTGTTGCCGCGTAAATCAAGAACTTGAAGATGCTCGAGGTTGCAGTCGCCAAGTTCCAATGTGCCTTCAATGAGGTTGTCCGCCATGATAAGCTCCTTGAGATGGGGTATCCGGCCTAATACCTCAAAAGCATTGTTGGTGAGTCTGTTGCCGCTCAAGTTCAACGACTGAAGTCTTTCTAACCTTCGCATCCCTGTGGGTATTTGCCGCAATCGGTTTCTGCGCAGGTCTATTGTCTCGAGGCCGCCAAATTGATTTGAGTTCTCATCATCGTCAGCCGATTCCGATTCTGAAAAATCGGGAAACATGTCATCCTCTAATTCCTTGAGCTCGTTGTCTGCTGCATTGAGCTTTATTAACACCACCATTTCGGCCCAACTCGTCGTGCTGTTCTCCGATTTATACATTTTCATGATTTCTTGGGGCATTTGTTTCAGTTTCATCGCTGCAATATTCAGATGACCAGACGTAACAGCCTGTTGTATACGTTTCCGCAGCAGCCCTTTGTTATCGCCGCCTAGAGACGCCGCTTCATCGATAAAATCCGATGGCCAGGAAGAGGCTTCAGATGAT